CGGGGGCAGGGCTGCCCACCCATTTCTGCTTCCTGCTCCTCGAGGGGCACTGGTCCTAGCTTAGGGAACCCAGTCACTGCAGCCTCCAGTGTCCCGTCACCACTCTCCAGGAGCCCGCCACACCCCAGGCACTGTGCCAGGCCCTCCCTGTGCCTGAGTAAGGCCAGAGCCCACAGTCCCAACAGGAGCTTGAGAATCAGGGAGGGGAGAGCTTGTCCGTGGCCACCCTGTGTGAGGCAACATTCAAACCTGCCACCGCCTCCAAAGCCACTGCTACTGGCAGTGGGCCTGCCACTGGCCCTGCAAGGACCCTCCCCTGCCCCGGGCTGCCCTTCTCTGCCTAGAAGTGCCTGGCCCCTGGCTGGCCCTGCCATGGGCTACCCTCTTATCCTGAGCTCTGCAACATCATCACCTCCTCCCTGAAGCCCTCCAGGCTTAGCCTCAGAGCGTGTCCCCCTCTGGTGCTCCTCCCACCTGCCCGGCGGCTTCTGCTCAGCCTCCCGTACTGGCTCAGCCCGACACAGACACCCACCTGAAACTCTGGCCCTGGCTCCAGCAGCAGATAAGGCTGGAGACGGGAGGCCCCCAACCACACCTCGGGCCCTCCCTGCTCTCCAGGGAGGTGCCACCAAAGGCGTAGTGTGCTTGCCCCACAAAACTCCCTCTGGGCCCCAAACCTGTGCCAGGACCCAGGACCACACAGGGCCGGAAAGGGCTCGTGCCTGTTGGCAGCAAACTGCTGACAGCTGATGGGCAGCGAGGCTGAGACATCGCGAGATGGGAAAAGGCAGAATGGAGAGGGAGAAAGGGAGGGCCTCGCAGGGCTGCGGTGGGGCGAGGGCCATGCTGAGGATATGCGTGTGGGAGGGAGGAGGGAGGCAGGAGACGACACCGGAGGACATGCGTGTGGGAGTGCAGGACGCGGGACATGACGCCGGGTCAGAACTCCAGTGAGCCCGCCCCCCTGCTTGGGTATTTGCCCTTTGGGGTGCCAGGAAGCACCCCTCTCAGCTCTGATGCTGCTATTTCCATGGCAAAGGAGATCCCCACTGGAAGAAAAGGCAGCAGGAGGGGTCCCTACCAGTGCAGGAACACGCCGGAAGCAGGGTCCACCGAGGCCTGGGCCAGTGCAGACCTCAGCCTGGACGGAAACTGCAGCCCGCTCCCTGCGAGCCTTGGGCGCCTCCCTGCCTCCCTCCCTCCACGCCTCCAGCTCCCATGGGGGTCTAACCATCCCTCGGGACTCAAGCGTGTTGTGAGAGGCGGACAGTGGGGTCCAGGACCCCAGCCTTGCACGTGAGCCCCACAGCTGTTCAGAGGAGCTGGAACCAGGAAGGAGCTCAACCAGGAAGGAGCCACCCTGCGTGCCACGAGCGCAGGTTAACTAGAGCCCGCGTGGGTTTGGCCGCAGTCCCGGCCCAGCCCCAGGCCTGGACCCGTCATCACTGACATGCTCTGGGCCTTGGGTCCCTAGGGACCCAGAGCTGGGGCTGCCCGGTGGCCTGGCTCCAACACTGAGGAGACAAGGCCCTGCCCACTGGCAGACGTCCCCTGGGACTCCTGGAATGACCGTCCATTCATGCAGCGGCTGGAGCAGCGCCCTGGGCCACACCCCCACAAGCCGGGCAAGCACCCTCTCGCCACCACCAAGCCTTACCCCACAGAGAGAGAGATCAGCACCCCAGCCAAGCTGGGAGCCAGTGCAGGCCAGGCAGGTCCCTTCCCGGCAGCTGACAGAAATGACAAACCCACACCTGTCTCACGCAAGATGAGAAAAACAGGCTGGGCCCTGTGAGGTTTCCGTGCAGCTAAATTTATTCAATTGGCAAGTCTGTCCTCTCTCCTGAGATCAGAGCCCGCCTACTTCTGGAGTACTGAAATGTCTTTTTTTTTTTCATAAAATAACGGCAATAATAGATGGTGGTGTACTATTTTTTTTATGTTCTTACTTGGCAAAATGAAAAGCTGGTGAATGTCAGTGCAGAAAAAATAGAGAGTTGGCAACCCTATGTCGGTCTCAAGTCATTTTAGAATGCAACAGTCCATGATGTGCACAAATTCCACCACGGAATGGGGTCACAGAAGGCTGGTTAGGAGCCGCCCTGCAGGGAGGAGGGACAAGAGGGTTCAGGAAGGGGGTCCCCAGGGGGGTGAGGGGGCTTGGGGGTTAGGGCAGGAAGGCACTAAAGCAAGAGTTTCCGGACCTGTAAGTTGAGGCTGACGGGGTAGGGGGCAGTGGCTTCAGGGACACTCAGTCACTGCAGGCCAGGCCCTGTGTCCAGGAAGGTCTGGGAGCCAGCACTCCTCTCCAGACCCACGCTGGTGATGTCATCCTTCAGCAGCTGGGCAAGGCAGCCCAGAAATCATGCGAGGGCCAGGGCCCTAAAAATGCCACCCGCTTGACCCATGGACACACTGCTCCAAGGACCTAACCCAAAACAGGCAGCAACACAGAGAGTAACCGCGACACCATCCTGGGAACTCGGTTCACAACACCGAAACACGGGAAGAGCCAGAAGGGCCAGCCCGAGTCTCAGCTCAGTGACCACGCAGACGCAGCAGGGTCCCTGCACCTCGGAGGAGCGTGTTTCTAGAGTGTAAAGAGGACAGGTGCACCCCACGATGCTAAGTGTAAAAAGCAGATCCAGAATGTTATTCACTTAAATCCAATTCTACAAAACGTGTATGGATTTGAGAAGAGGCTGGCAAGAAATACCAAAATGTTAACAGTGCTTCCTCAGATACCCGGTATGTCCAAATTTCCTATGATGAGCATATGTTACTTTCACCATCAGAAAACAATACATCTTATTTTTTAAAAGAAATAAAAAAGAATAATTAAAAACAAAATGGCACAAAATCTGCAAAGGACCCTCCGTTGCCTTAAGCTCTGGACCCCAGACTTGGCAGAGGTAGTCCCAGCTAGCCTGGGTGGATGGACAGAAGGAAAGATGGATGGATGGATGGATGGATGGATGGATGGATGGATGGATGGATGGATGGATGGGTGGATGGGTGGATGGGTGGATGGGTGGATGGGTGGATGGGTGGGTGGATAGATGGGTGGGTGGATAGATGGGTGGATGGACAGATAGGTCGATGGACAGATGGGTGGATGGATAGATGGGTAGATGGATGAGTGGATGGGTAGATAGGCAGGTGGATGGATGGATGGATGGATGGGTAAGTTTTGGCCTGTCAATTCAGAAAGGTGTAGCCTTGGCCACACTCCAACCTCTCTCAGAGCCTCAGAGTCTGCATCCGTAAAACAGGAACAATATGACCTGCCCTCCTCCTCTCCAAGTCATTGGCAGGATGCAAGGAGTTGAGGGCAGGGTGAGCCCTGCACAAGGAAGCCCTATTCTGTGGTGAGGCACAATGCTGCCGCAATTGGTAACTCCAAAGCATCAATTATGATAAGGGCAGAAAATGCTTAACCCACAGTTGACTGGCCCAGACCTCAGAGGTGCAGCCAGACACCTGGCACAGGTCCCCAAACCATAAGGCTCTCTGCTGGGGTGACTGGCCAGGTACCTGCACAAACACAGGGCATGTAAGGCAGGCCATTGATGGCCAAGTACTTACTGGGATCCGATACCAGACAAGGTGCAGGCCTGGCATCAGCAAGCAGTGGTCCCCTGCGGGTTCCTGCCCTGTGGGACTGGCCATCAGATGCTTGTTTGCCAAAGAACAACTTAACGGCTTTCTTCTGGGGGCCACCAACTTCTCAGTTTGCCCAGAGCAAAGGTGGGGGGAGGGCGAAGCTGAGGACGTGCAGTAGGGCCCTCCCTGCTCTGCCTTGCGAGGCCTCCACCTACCCAGGAACACTGGTGGTCCGCCACAGTGGGGCACGGTGGGTGACAACGGGAGGAGACAGGACGGTCCTCGAGCCCAAGCACAGGGCTCCGTGTGACTCCACGTGGGGCACAGGGCACGGCTCTGCCCAAGCTCCTAGGCCTCCTCCGGGCTGGTCAGGCTTAGTATGGGGGTTCACCTGGGAGAGGAGCCCCAAGCTCTCCAACAGACATGGATGCCGAGAAGAGACATGCAGTCTTCGGCCACAGCCCGTGCCTCTCAGAGCTCGTTAGGTCCACCACCCCACACCATCCCCTTTCGCAGGCAAGATGGCTCAGGCTCTAAGAGGTGACATGACGCAGTCAGGACCCCCTGACAAGGAGGTGGTAAAGGGAACAGGGGCTCCGACACAGTTCTCGGGCTCCCCCTCAGCGCTGCCCAACCTGCACCATGCTGGGATTGCTGCCAGGAGACCTCGGGGCTCATCGGGGCCCCTGAGGAGGGCCTCATAGCCTGTGGAAGCCCAGGGTGGCCTGAACACAGAGCTGCCCCTGCCCCGGGCTGGCCGAGCCCCTGCAGCAATCACCTTTCTCTCCCCAGGGACCCAGGGCTCCAGCCTGCGGACAGCACAGCACCTGGGGAGCCCTTCTATTGGAGCCCAACCTCCTGCCAGACCAGCGGCCTCTCTTGGTCCAAGCCAGGGCAGGCCCCTGGGTGACCCTAAAGGAAAGCCCAGTGGAACCCTGGCAGGGACGGGATCAAAACCACAAATCCCAGCTCCCACCCAGCCTGAGTCCACCACCTGCAAACGGCTGTGCAGATGGCACACCTGCGTCACGTGTCTGCAGGTGTGCTCAGCGTGCAGCCCCATCAGGGAGCTCTGGTGCGTGGCAGACACGTCTGGAGAGAGTCAGTGGGGCAAAAAGTGTGCAAGCGGATGCGTGCCCTGCCATCTGAAGACACGCCTGCATGCAGGTGTGCCTGTCTACGTGGGCGTCACAGGACACCTGGGCTTCCAAGAGGGGGCGTATGCGCACCCGTGTGCCCCTGTGGGTGATGCCAGGCGTAAGCTCAGCCTCAGGCTCTGAGCAAGAGCCGGGCTGGCCCTCAGATGTGTGGGATCCAGGCGGCTGTCGGGCTGTGTGTGGACAGTGCAGAGCACACCCATGCACGCCCATGTACACCACACACAGGCACACACTCACAGGCTGTCCCGCAGCTCCTGCGTATCACTCGGCGTCCCCAGGGACCGGAGGCTCTGCTCCAAGGAGGTCACTGCCAAGAGAAGGGGACAGGCGTAAGGAGCAGAAGGGCCTCCTCCAGCAACCCCTAAACCGCAGGTGACCCCCAGACCCCAGGGATGTCCTCTGCCCCCAGCAGAGGCAGTGCAGGGGCCCAAGGACATGGGTGCCGGGGCCTGGGAGACCATCCAAGTGACCATGCTCCTGTCAGAGCCAGGACACCAGGGCCGGGCAGTGCCCAGGCCCTCACTCAGTCCATCATACCCCCAGCAGAGCCCCCAGAGCAGGACCCCTCTCCCCAGCTGCCCTGGAACAGGCTCTCAGGCCCACGTGGGGCTCAAGGGCTCTTGGGAGCCGCCTCCCGCGGGCCTCGCCCTGGGTCTGGGAGGGGGACTTCTCTCCTCCCCTCTCCTGCTCGGCACTCTCTTACAGACCTGAGAGAGCTCAGGGTTCAGGGGCAAAGTGCCCCTGCCCAGCCAACATGTCCCCAGGACTCAGGTGCTAACGGCCTGGCCTCGTGGGGTGTGGCTCTCATCCTCTGACCCTCAGCTGTGACCTACGAGTCGGCCAGCCCTGCCCGTCTGAAGGAGGCCCTGACATGCTCCTTCCCCATGGGGACTAGTCCGGGTCACACGGGCGTGCGACGGTGAGGGAGGAGCGGAGCTGCAACACTGCGGGGAGCAGCCTCTGGTCGGAGGATGGCAGGCCTGGCCCACCCCGTCCCGAGACCGACGCACTCTTTTGCCAACCTGGCCTGCCCTCCCACCCCGAGACACCTGGGCCCGGACTGCAGGGCAGCCTAGTAGGGGAAGGCCACAGGCACGGCCACCACCCCCAGTGTCCCCTCAACCTCCCGTGGTGCTCTCGGTGGCCCAGCTCAGTCAGGTCGGGGTGGGACGGGGGGACCAGCCCTGGGCGCACACTCACCGTTGGAGTTGATTCGGAAGACGCTGGCAGACGTCTCCTGGAACAGCTCCTGGAGATCACCAGGATCCACCTGGGTGGCTGCAAGAAAACAGGAGGGGAGGACACATGGTCACCGTGCTGCCCGCAGGAGCCCGGCACCACCGACCGCGCAGAGCAGTTCTGGAAGCTGAGAGGCGGCGGTCACCCTTCCTAGCTCGCGCGTGCTCACAAGCCGAGGGAGAGAGAGGAAAGCAGAGGACGGCTCCTCAGAAAGGCCGAGCAGTGGGTGCCGTCTGCCCCAGCAACGCCACCGCTGGGCACACGTGAGAGAGACGAGTGCCCAGGTCCACATGACAGCCTGCACACGCGTGTGCACAGCAGCTCTGTTCCTGAGTCACAGAGTGGAGACAGCCCCATGTCCATCACCTGACGACAGGTGTGGTCCATCCTGACAAGGTCACATCACTCAGCCACAAAAAGGAACGAGCGCTGACACACACCACAACACAACCAGACCTCGAAACTGCCTGCCTGTGAAAGAGGCCAGACACAAAGGCCCCACGGCATCTGATTCCACTTACGGGAAACGTCCACATCCACAGAGGCAAATGCACCGGGAGGGAAAGCAGAGTCGTGGTTGCTAGGGGCCGAGAAGGGGGAACAGGGGTGAGTGCTAATAAGTGTGGGGTTTCTTTTTGAGGTGATGGAATATTCTAGAGTTAGATACTCATGATGGTTGCACAACACTGTGAATATACTAAAAACCACTGAATTGTACACTTCAGGATGGTTAAAATGGTGAATTTTATGTTGTGTGAATTTTATCTCAATTAAAAAAAAAATACCAAACATTGTGTGGACGCCACCAAGTCCTGGTAAGGATGGCAACGCTCCCAGGCTGGTGGGGCAAGGACAAGACAGCACAGTCACTACAGAAAGGTCTGCCGCCCCTTAAAGACTGGACAGTGCCACTCTGGGCATTTACGCAGAGAGAGACAAATACGGCCACAAGAAGCTTGTGTAAGACATGAAGAGCGGCTTCCTCCTCAAGACCTGGAAAGGGCGCCGCCATCCACGGGCAGAACCACGGCACAGGCCTGCCCACAGCAGAGCCGCAGAGAGGAAGGACACACGGCGTGGGCGGACCTCACACGCATCGTGCCAAGGGAAGGTGGCCGGACATCAGAGCACAGACCTAGAACCCGACTGACAGGAAGTTCCAGAACAGATAACAGTAACCTCTGGTGCTCCTGGGGCTGGGAGAGCACCCTCGTGGCCCATTGAGGCTGAGCCTCCAACACAAGACGAGTCGGCTGGACCTGTGCTGGGGACCAGCTGGAGCAGCAGGCAGGGAGGCAGCAGAGTCGGGGTGGGGAGGCACCCCACGCCATCCACGTACACCCCCCACGAACAGGTGCCCTTGGATCCCAGAGGTCTGGCTCCCAACCCAGCCTGCCATCCACTCTCTCGGGATCTGGGGCCTGCCTCCTGGGCTCTCGGAACCTCGCTGTTCCCACCTGCAGGATGGGGATAACACCCCCGCCGAGGGTTGATGTGAGATTTTCTTCAGGGCAGACACGGAGCAGGGGCTCAGGCAATGCCAGCTCCCGGGCCTCCTTCCTCATCTGCGGCATGAAGAGGAACTATCTGGCTCCAACAATCCTTCCTGTCCTTAGTGTCTGCACAGCCAACTCCAGGAGCCACTCACACTGCGGTAAAGAGAGCTTCTGCAGAAACGCGGGAGCATCTCCCCCCAGCTCAGCACCCCTTCTCAAAGCTGTCCTCCTCTGGACATCTCATCTGCCCCATCCACTCGCTCACCCCCGTGGCCAGCCCACCTCTAACCCACACCAAGTCCCGCCCTCGGGGCCAGTGGCCTGTCTGACGGGGCCGGACTGTCCCGCTGATGGAACTACTGACCCTGTGTGCTATGTGTCTTTCCAGATAACACTGGCTAATTGGCTTTGAGACGTTCTGTCTCTGATCTCGGGATAAAGCAGCTGAGCTCAGAGAGGCTGAGTGGCCCAGGGCACCAGCGAGGACGGGGCAGAGGGGGTGCTGGAACGGTCAGCAGCCTGAGAAAAGTGAAGAGCTCCACCCCTCAGGGCAGCTGATCTGGCTCTCAGGAAAAACACCATGGAGGCACAGCCCCGGGGCAGCAGGCTGGAGGAGCAGTGAGGAGGCCTCCACAAGGAGCAGAGCCTGGGGCTGGCCCAGCTGCGGCCCAGGGGGCACACAGGCTCTGGGGCTCGCCAGCCTCTGCTGCAGCTGCAGGAGTCACTGCAGAGCCTCCTGGGGGCGAGGAGGCCGCGAGGCCTGCAGGAGCTCATAGGAGGCCCCCTACTGGCCTGGAGTGCAGGGGCAGGGCGCTGGTCAGAAGCCGGAGGGCTGGGTAAAACTGCCCCGAGGAGCAGCATCCAGGGCTGGTCTTGTCCCCAGCCAGCAGGCAAATGCAAAGGCTCCAATGCAGAGCCCCCTGCAAGCAGCCTGCGGAGGCCCCCGCCTCGGGCTGGAAGCAGTGGGTGTGCAGCTGGCTATTTCTGACGGGCGCTGTGGGGTTTGGTAAACACCTAGAGCCACCGTGGGCAGGCGTGAACACCAGGGCTGGGGCAGGGGGGGGCGGGGGGCTGTCAGCCGGCTGCCTTGGGAATTAATGTGGACCCACAGGGAGGGGAGGGAGGAAATGTGCAAATATTCTGGAGGAGGACAAGGCAGGTCCGGCCCAGGAGCAAGCACAGCTGCAGGACGGCCTCCTGCCTCCACGGGAATCCGGGGAGGCGCGATGGGAGGCCTCTCACCTCAGCCGGAGGGAACACCACAGGGGATGCCAGTGGAGGCCGTCGGGGACCTCGAGCTGTGTCCCCTAGACCCAGTCTCTTCTTTGCCCTGGGCACCTGGCCACGCAGCTGCAGAGGACACTTCCCTGCCTCCCTTGCAGCCAAGAGCAACCACGTGACTAAGTTCTCACCCCTGGCATCTGAGAAGCGAATGCGCCGACCCCCTCATGTTTTAAAAGGACACTGCAGGCCGTGACTGCCTCTCACTCCCCTCCTAGGCTGAGATGTGATGGGTGCGACTCCACTGCAACCACGCAGATGAAGACAACACCCCAGGGGCGCAGAGCCACAGGTGGGAGGAGCCTGGGCCCCCCGATGGCCCTGGGGAGTAGAGCTGCCTCGCGGCCTGGACCGCTGGATGGCGGCAAGAGGGAGACAAATGCTCCATCTTATTTGGGGCCTCTGCTCTAGCAGCCCACCCTCTTCTTTACCTACTACACAAACACAGCCCGTTCAGTAAGGGCTGGAAACCTAACAGACACAGGCCGTGAGTCTAGTGGAAGGCCCAGGCCAACCCTGACATGCACTGGTCATCCTGCCTCCTCCACTCCAGGATCGCATCACCAACGGTGGCCGCCGCGTGACCGGGCAGGTGGGCAGTGGGAGATTGACTGCAGCTATAGTAATCGAGCCTCTGCATTTGGCACAGGTGACAAACGACAAGGCCTGAATCTGGGTGGTGGCAAGGGTACAGAGGAGGAAATCAGAGGTCTCGGGGAAGAGCTGACAGGACTGCGGATGGGAGAACCTAAGGGGCGAGGAATGGGAGGACAGACAGCTGGTGCCCGTCAGCCAGGCGTCTGGTCAGTGCAACTAGGATGGACGGGGATGGTTCACAACAGGGGGCGCAGACGAGAAGCAGGCGTCGGGGAGAGAGGAAGGGGTCACTCTGGTCAAGGGGCGAGGGAGGTGCCTCTATGTCAGTGGAGTGAAGATTCTAGTGCCAGCTGTGGAGCACGTGGGTGATTCTCAGGACAGAGGTACGCGCTGGAAACAGGAATCGCGGGGCCAACGACATACAGAAATTAATCCAGAAAAATAAGCCAAGTTCTCATGCAATACTGCCCCTGGGAGCACTTCAGCTCTGTCATGAGGGAAACGGGCCAGGCTTTCCCCCGGGACACAGCTAACCCCTGGAGGAACGATGGAAAACAACGTTCTAATCAGGGATGACGGTCGGGTCAGTATTCCAGTCCTGAGAGAAGAGCCCTAACCCCCAGCTCTCTCCTGTGAGCAACAGCAGCCTGCGGAGCTGGGAGGAGGCTCCAGAGCAGAGCCCAGCGTCTCTGGTCAGGAGACGGACGCCGGGCCCACAACACGGCAGCTGCCCTGGGGGCAGGGGACCGAGGAGGGACAGCATGCATCACACGTGCGTGCACACAGGCGGAGAGACGGCATGTATCACACATGCGTGTGCACAGGCGGAGAGACAGCATGTATCACACGTGCGTGTGCACGGGGGAGAGACAGCAGGTACCACATATGCACGTGCACAGGCAGAGAGACGGCATGCATCACACGTGCGTGCGCACAGGCTCTTGGAGAGACAGCATGTATCGCACGTGCGTGCGCACAGGTGGAGAGACAGCAGGTATCACACGTGCGTGCGCACAGGTGGAGAGACAGCAGGTATCACACGTGCGTGTGCACAGGCGGAGAGACAGCAGGTATCA